CGCACGACCGCGCCTTTTGCGAGGCGCTGCGCGCGACGCACGTCGGCTATGTCTCCGGCGGGTCGTGCCGCGTCGAGGAGCGGCCGCTGCGCGACTCCGACTTCAGCGAGGCCGACCGCGGAGTGCGCAACTCGCTCGGCGGCGGGGACGACGACGACTCCAACGCCGAGCTGAGCGCCGCCGAGGCCAAGGCGGCTCGCGAGCTGGAGCGGCAGCGGCAGAAGCGGCTCTCGGCGGCGCCCAAGAAGATCGCCACCATCGAGAGCAAGGTGGACGCCCTCGAGGCGGAGCTGCAGGAGATCGACGGCGCGATGCTGCAGGCCGGCGCCGACGTGGCGAAGCTGGCCGAGCTGGGCGCGGCGAGGGAGGGCGTGCAGCAGAGGGTGGACGGGCTGTACGCCGAGTGGGAGGAGCTCGAGGAGCTGCTCGCAGCGAGCCAGCCCGTGGGCAGCGGCGGGTAGCGCCGTGACCCCTCCCGTGTGCGGCGGGACTGGACAATAGTCTGTGAAAAGGTGGCCCGACTAGGGACTGAGTCGCTTCCCCGGGGCTTTATACGTAGCACTTCCTCACATCGAGCTGCCTGCGGGCCCGCTTCCCAAAGAAAGAAGTAGTCATGAAAAGAGTAAGAGAGAAAGACACCGGGCGCGAGATGGAACGAGGGGCGATGGGGGCGAGAAGGGGGTGACAGACACACCTGCGTCACCTGGACCTGCAAGATCTTGGAAGGACGTCGGCACGAGCAAGATCTTGGAAGGACGATCGGGGGGCACCGCTCAGGGGAACCGAAGCGGCGAGCTTTTCTCGGCTTTTTCTTCCAATTTGGGAAAAAGAAAACCCGCGCCATGCTTGGGCGGCAGGGTTCCAACTTTTTCCGGGGTTATGGTTACCATCGCGGCCCAAAGGGTGGGGGGGTATGGTCCTGACCGCCCGAGGCCGGCAGCCGGGAGGCTGGGTCTGTCAGCAGGCGGGGGGGGGTATGGTCTCGAGCTGGGTTGCGGGATGCTACCATACCATACCGAACAGTCCGAACCCAGGGTTCGCGGTAGGCTGAAAGCCTCTCCTTTCGACTTCCCTCTCCTCTCGACTCCTCTTCTGTCATGCGCAACCGCGACACCAAGCTCGTGAAGGACGCGCTCGCAGCCAGTGCGGCGGCTGCCGCTGTGCTCGCAGCACTCGGCCCGTCCACATGCAGCCGTGCGCGCTTCTCGCCCTCGCTAGTCGAAAGCTGCCGCAGCCTGCGGTACGAGGTGCCGTACGAGCTGCGGCACGTGGCCGATCCCTTTGTCGACCCTCTGTGCGACACGCTTGCCGAGGGC